ACCCATCTTTAGGGGGCTGAGGGAGAAGGGTGAAGGGCAAATCAGGGGCAGGTAGATTTCTGGATTTTGCTCTTGGGTTAGCTCTCACGCTTTCTGTCCCATTTAAGGGCCGCTTAGTCACAGAAGGGGGAAGTTGGGAACAATGCAGAATGAAAAGCACCCAACCTGGCTGCAAGTCAGTCTGCCTGGCTGGCGCTCAACTTGGTATTGTCCCAGAGCTGCGTTCTGTCCTCCCTCCCTCCCGTCTAATTCTTGGCTCCCACGCCTTCGTTTTAGTTCTTTCCCTCATCTTCTGTTTTATGTTTTTCGCGAAAGAGGATGCAGATTTAAATCAAAAGTCAGAAGTTTAGATCATTTTGAAGAGCTGCTGATGAGTGGTCTTGCCTTGCCATTTGTTTTATTAGACTGCTCCGTGCCCTTTCCAGCGTGGTCTGAAAGGCTCCGCGCAGCTGGGAAGAGTGATGGGGCTGCCAGGGTGCTGCCCAGAGGCCCAGGGCTTCCTGACGACATTGCATTATAAAAAAGCTGTAATAACATTCTGCTCTTTAGCTTCCTCTTCAATCACACAGGGGACACCAGGGGACAGAGGTGGGGCTCGGTGACTGTCTCCCAGGCTGCCCTTGACCCCCTGCCACTGGTGGGGAGGTCAGGAGCAGGTTGCTCTTCCATATCACCTGTCTTGAGGACCAAGTTAGAGTTTCTGTGGGACAGATGAGGAAACTGAGGCAGGGAAGATGCTAAGCAAATCAACCCACACTCTGGGCACACTTATTGTATGGGGATGTGGCTACGGGAAGGATCTGGATCAGAACTCACAGCTCTGGCACTGCCAGGCCCCTCCCATCCCCTCCCGCCCCTGACTTGTTCTTTATGTCTCTGCTTCTCCCTCCTTAAGCCAGGTATCAATTTGACATGAGGGTTATGGAGAAACAGGTTATAGTAGAGACTGGCTAGATTCTCATTGATGGTGCTCAGGGCAAGCTGCCCCAGGAAGCACCACTCTGGTATGCGGATTATTTCGAGCTGAAGACAATAAGGATATTTGACCTTCCCCACTAACTGCCTAGAGAATCTGGCATGGTGGCTCATTCCTGGAACAGATCTTCTATCATGATGGCTATAAAGATAATGTAAAATAGATGTTACAATGGGAGGGGCACCAAGCACCTTTTATCAAAAAACTCTATCTCTCCCTGACCAAATTATCAATAGATGACCCTGAAAAGAATTGTCCTTCTGCCCTCTGAAGTCCCAGGCCACTACCCACCCCCAACACGTTCCTTCGTCTTTAGCTGCAATACTTAAGCAAGCAGCTTAGACAGAGGGACGAGTTGCTCATTTCTGAGTTTCTCCCATGAATACATGTTATAAAACTTGGTATTATTTTCTCCTGCTAACCTGTCTTGTTGATTATTTGGCCAGCCAGAAGAACCTTAAGGGAAAGGGCAGAGGGAGATTCTCCCTCTTCCCCCTACATCATCAAACCCATTTCCTCTTCCTAGGCACACAATTAAACCACATCTCAGTCCCCTGGCATCCAGGTAGGGTCGCATGACTAGTTCTTGCCCATGGAATGTAGGTGTGCCTTCTCCATGCTGTCTGACTTTTAGTCCTTGTGGTTGAAGATGGTGGTGTCACAAGATGGAAGGAGCCTGGGTCCCTGGATGACTGTGTGGAGCAGAGGCTCTCTGCCGACCACATCGGATTCTAATGTTAAGTGACTGATATTTGGGGATTGTTTGTTATAGTGGTTAGCCTACTCTGACTAATACCTGTGTGTTTCTCAATTCAAAAAAGAAGAGAGCTTCCCAGTCTGGGTGAGGGAGGCCAGCCAGGAGGCTCTTACAGTGTTCCAGGCAACAGGGAGCAGTAGAGGTGGAAGGTTCAGAGGTCCTTTCTGGTTCTCACGTTCTGGGGTTTCTCCATTTCCATCCTACTCTCTCTCAGTGCCCCTGTACATCAACGCCCTGTGGCCAACACAGACCACTTGCTGTTCCCTGAGCAGAATGCTTGATTCCCCATTCCCATGCTCGTCGATCATATTCCTGGAACACCTGCCCTTCTTTATCACCTTTCAGACTAGCCTTCCTTTCAAGACGCAGCTCAAACACCAGCTCTCTGATCACCCCTTGTGGTGGTGACCCTCACTGTGTCTCCTGTCCTGGGTAGCGCTCTGCACAGCTGAGCCAATGGCCCCCACCCCCTGTTAAAGCATCCATGATATTTTCATATGAGGGTCTTTACTCTCTCATTAAATCATGAGGTTCTTAAGGATAATGTCACGATCCTCATGCTTCCTTGTTTCCTATACGGGCCCTAGCACTGTGTTGTATGTACCAGGCATTCGGAGGGTATTTGTTGGATGGATGAATAGAAGGAAGGAAAGAAGGAAGGAAGGAAGGGAGGGAGGGAGGAAGAAAGAAAGGAAGGAAGGACAGATTCATGAAATCACAAACAAATGAATGAGCTACTTGGCCAGATTTTCAAGTGTCTGTACCATCTGGCTCGCTCCATTTCCCTACTCTTCATTTCTACTACTCCTAACCACAAAAACCCTATTCTGAATGGGTTGGTCTGTCCATAGACTCATGAGCCTGCCAACTTTCCCTTCCTTCCACTTCCCATCCGCCTACCATCTCCCAGCCCCTTCCACACTCCCGTCACCCTTCAGGGCCCAGATGAAGTCTCACCTCCTGCAACAGTTTCCGTGATGACTCTGCTCTCAGTGAACCTCTTCACCTTTAAATTATAGGCCTGATCATCTGCACTACAAGATTAACCCTCGCTGTCATTGGGTACTGATTTGTGTGGTTTGTTGTCAGTTCATGTAGGTTGTTCTTGCTTCCTCAACTAGAATCTAAGCTCTCAAGAGCTGGATCTTCCACAGCGCTTAGCAAAGAGATCAGCACAGAATAGCTGCTCAGTACAAGTACACACTTGCTGATGGCTGGCTATCTAGGGTCCCCTCACCGCTGTTGCCTTTTTTAAGTAAACTCAGATTGGAAATCAAATACATACGTACTCATCACCTTCTCTTCTTTCTATATCTTTCTGTTCTCCTCCTTCTTCCCAGATTCCCAATAATTGGGTGGGCTCATTCAACCGAGTTTCTGAATCTGCAAAGCTTTGCACAAGTTTCCGGACCACAGTGGCCCCTCTGAGCCCAGTAGTCCAGTAAGAACAGTCTAAAACCGGTAGCCAACTGTGCCCCTTACAACAAATTGTACTTTTTTTTTTTTTTTTTTTTAAAAAGCATAA